CAGGCAGGCAGGCAGGCAGATGGAGGAAAGGAAGTGGCACGCGCTCGTGCGTCCACCTCCCTTCTTCGTCCTCCTCCTCCTCTTGCCCTCAGGCGATCGGCTGTTGCCGGATGCCCGAAATGGCCGCACGCGTTTTCGCGCCCTCCCCTCGCTTACCGAGGGCGCGAAAATGGCTGCCGGACCCCGGGAGCATCGCTGAATGGTGAGTTTTGGGCCGATTTGGAACGCATTAAACATCGTTTAATGGCTTTTTTTGTCCCGTTCAGCGATGTTTCGCTATAGCGAAGGTTAATCCGGAACGGATTAACCCTGCTATGCGAGGCACCACTGTATATAGCAACTAATTGGTATCAGATAACCCAAATCAGAAACTCAACTGCATAAAACACTGGGCTCAAATAGACCATTAGCAGAAACAGAGAAATATTGTATAGAGATAGGGAATAAAAGGAAAACAGGGTTAATTTCAGCAATTTATAAAAGTATTATAAATAAACAATTTGGAGACAATATGGGATCCAAAATAGTTTGGGAGACAAACTTAAAAATTGACATATTAGAAAACACATGGAAAAGAATATGGACCTCTCAACCTTATAAATCAGTTTTATCTCAAGCTAAAGAAACAGTGTTAAAAGTGGTGCACAGATGGCGCTTATACCCTGTAAAATTAAATAGAATAAATAAAGGAATATCAGACATGTGTTGGAGGAAGTACAGGAATAAAGGAACTTTAGAACATATGTGGTTAACGTGCAAAAGAGGGGCAATTTTCTGGTCTGAGGTAACTAAGTAGTTGGAAAGTATAACAAAATTAAAAAAATCTCAAATGAAACTTTGCTACTTTTTTCATTATTTATGGGAGGGAACGAAAACATTGTGAATAAAGAACTAATTGCAATTATATTAGGAACCTGTAATGAAATTGACCAACACTGGAAGGACGCTCAGGACTTGTCGTTGCAAAGATTTCAAAATAGAATATGGAGACTGGGTCTGATCGAAAAACTGTCCTATCATATTAAACTCTATAGAGGTGAAATAAAACAAGATACATTGTTGGCCTCTGGTGCAGGAGACCAATTGGAAAATGAACTGAAATGCTGGTTAGTTTGAATAACTGTGGGGTTAGAAGTAGAACATATATAAATGTTTAAATATTACAGTGGTGCCTCCCTTGACAAAGATAATCCGTTCCAGCAAAATCGCTGTAGAACGAAATCCTTGTCAAGAGAAATAAAAAAGCCCATTGAAATGCATTAAAACCCGGTTAATGTGTTCCAATGGGCTAAATACCTCAGCGTCCAGCGAAGATCCTCCATAGGGCGGCCATTTTCTGCTCCCTGTCTTGTGAAGAATCCGTTTTAAAGCACAGCGGGGAGCCATTTTACACAGCGGGTGGCCCTTTTGAAAACCCGACAATCAGCTGTTTTTCATCGTCAGGAAGCGACTGTTGGGATTATTGGGACTGTGTATGACTGAAAGGAGGGCCTGCAACTCCGGGGAAAAGCGCGCCAGGAGAAAAGCCGCACCGCAGTTTGTGCGTGCCACAGTTTTGGCGAAAGCGGGTGGTTTTAAAACCTGACCAGGATTGCCTAGCTTCAACATTTCATCCCTTTTTCACCTCTCCCCCTTTGCTGCCCCTTGTTTTAGTGAG